GGTTTGGGCTGCAGCTGGGAGTTTTGTCAGGAACCAAGGCATTCTCCTGTACCTGACAGTGCCGCTGCTCTGCACCCATGGCTACATGAACACAGATTTGCAACCAGGGCATTTTTTTTCCTATAGCTTGGGCTTGTGCAGGCAGAGGGGAAGCCCAGTGGGTGCATCGTGGCAGGGCTCCTCATGCAAGCTGCCAGGACCAGCACGCTCTCTTCTCCCAGTGTGGGCCAGTCACCCAGTGAAGTCATCCTTGGCTAAGGGCTGCAAAATCCATCTTAACTCTTCAGGAGCCAAACGAGCATGGGTGCATGGGAACACAACAGTGGGGCAGCCTCAGCTTGTCCCAGACTGTCAGCAGGAGGCTCTGCAGCAGGTCCCATGGCTGCAGTGAGGTTTGGTTTGGAAGCTTTCTGCTTTGCTCCATATCTGCAGGCACCCAGAGCTGGTGGTGCTCTGGAGGTGCACTCTTCTGGTGCCACCAGGATGCTGGACCCATGCCGTTGGAGCTGCAAAGACTGTGCTGTGAGTAAGCCTGTCCATCCATTTGTCCATCTGTCTGCTTGGCCACAGACCTACAGCTACAATAAGTACCTCGATTAGGTGCTAAAAGGCAGTGGACAGGGGATGCAAACCTCCCCACAGGCAGCATACAGGAAAATGCCGCCTTGGTTGGACCCCAATAATTGGAGCTCAGGCAAGCACAGGCAAAGGAAGTACGGGTAGCTGATGAAGTGACCCTACAGTGTTCTGAACCTCAAACTCTGCCCAGGATTCTCCTAAACCTGCCTTTGGTGGCAGAGCTGAGGATTGGCATTGTGGGCATGGCTTTGCGGTTGAGTTTTGATGCTGGTAGAAATCTGGTGGGCAAAAGAAAGAGTGGCTCTGAGGTTTGTGGTGGGCAGGTGAGCAGCAGACATGTGAACTAGAACATCACAACCTCATACAAAAATAACCTCAGCTGGCTCTGAAGTGCAGAGGAGACCTTTTTGAGAGAGATTTTCAGAGTAGGTCTCAGCCTACGCTAAAGCATCACAGCCCTCCCTACCCTCATGAGGCCCTCAGAGATGACTTTTGTTTGTTCGGCTGGGGCAGAGCTGTGTGTCTCCAGGCTGGTGGTGTGCAGAAGTGATGGGAGCATAAGCCTGTACCTCTTAGCCCCAGACCCTCCTTGGCCGCTGCAGCAGTCAGCGAGGTGGGGACTGCCAGGGACCAGCTGCTCCCCAGGATGGGCGGCCTCTGCCAGGCAGACGGCTTTGTCTCTTCCAGCGCCAGAAGAGGGACAGATCAGCAGAAGATGGGAGTAATTGCCAGGAGGCTTTCAGGCAGAAAGCGAGGCTCTCGCCCGCGGACAGGGTGATGTAAGTCAGCATGTAAATTGGGTACAACACAAGAAACTCAGCCGAGCTCCTACCGAAACCTATGCACAAAAAAATGTTGTTGCTAAGAAATGTGAAAATAGAAAACAATAACGTGGCTCCTGCCAGGGTAATAAAAGTGTATCAGCGTTAAGTGTGCTCTCTCGTACAGATCGCTTGTTCGTGACAGTAAATTAAGTACTGCAAAAATGGGTACAGTTTTCTCTGTGGCCATTGATGCTTCACATCATGGAAATAGCAAATGTTTCTGATGGCTGTTCATTACCCTGTGGTTGAGAGGGGAGCAATCCGTTGCTGGCTCCATTATTTCCATGACAGCAAGGAAATGACTATGGGAGGTTTAAAAATGAAAGAATACAGCAAGGTTAGATGGATAGAGCCTCAACAGTCTGTTGCCATTCACCATGGTTGATGCTAATGTTGGGTCTCTGAGGGACCATGCTGTCTCCAGAGTGATGGAAAACCAGGACTACCTTTTGGTTACAGCTAATTGCCGGTTCATAAACTGTAAAGTTTGACCTTCAAAGTCTCCAGAAAAGCTGATTTGAAGCATGACAGTGTTGCAGCACAGCTCCTCAGCCAGGAGAGCACTTGAGTCTCTGCCATGGGATGGATAACACAGAGCCAGTCACAACAAAAAAATGGGTGATAAAACTATGGTCACAAAATAAACCTGCCGTATGAGGCAGTGCAAAGCAGGAAAAGGCAAGAGTCTACCCAGCTGCCAAGAGCCATTTCTATCCCAACAAACAAAATTACCTTGGCCTGATTCAGTCCTTTCCCCAGAGGAAAACGGTTTGATTTGCAGATATCGTGAGTAGATTGAATGATTGAAATGTGACCAAAGATGGGCTGGGGAAAGGAAAGGGGGTAAGGGGGGAGGTGGGTTGACCTAGGAAATGGGCCAATGTTTTACCCTAATGGCCTGCTTTTCTCCATCTCTGACTATATCAGGAGTTAATTGTCCTTACCTCCCATGATGTGCGTGTGGTGTTTGGTGGGGTTGTGTTGGGTTTATTCTTTTGGAAGCAGGCTTGGGCAGTGCTGAACTCTGGCACCTTCTTGGTTAATTCAAACCTCAGCTTTTTTAAACAGAAAGTGCAGTGACAACTTCATGAGTGGCTTTTTATGAATGAACAAAACCAACCATGTCAAAATGCTTTTCAGCTGTTAGCATAACAGCATTTTTAATGAATCTCCAAAGGTTTTGGTATTGAGCTCTGTGTTGAAGAGTGTGTGGTCTCTTGGCTGTACTCTCAAGGGGAAAAAGCACAGGAGAAGCCACAGGAAGCAATGCTTTTGCATAGGAGTGTCAAGCACTTTGAGGAAGTGCTTGCTCTGTGCTGATCTCTGCACTGGGGTGGCTGTTCTGGATTTAAGTTGACTCAGAGGCTGTTGCTGAGCCTGGGGACTCTCCTCTGCCTGGTCACAGCAGCAGGGCTACGTGGGCTCTCTTACATCAGTGAAATGCCTGTGTGGCAGAGGGAGATTCAGGAGTCAGAGCGAGGGCTTCTGATCATGTCATGATGGTGGGACTGGGGACACTGGTGGGGTGCTGGGCACTGGTGGGGGTGCTGGACGCTAACAGGGGTGCTGGGCATAGCAGTAGGAGACCCACTCAGGGCTTTTCTTTATCGCCACAGCCTGAGTGCTTTCTGAGGAGGGTTGCCTGTGTGGTGACCTCCCCAGCCATCGCTCCAGCAGCGGGTGAGGATCGTGTATGAGAGGGTCGAAGCCTTGCTAAAAATCAGGCTGCTGGTTATTTGTTATTTCTGCACTGCCTGCAGGATGTGGTGCCTGTTCAGAGGAGGAAATTAACTTGATCTGGCATGATGTGCTCTTGATAATGCCCTAGTGCCAGCACGCAGCTGCTCAGCCACTCTGCAGTGGTTATAGCTTGCTCATCCAAGTCCTTGCTCCAGTGTTTTCACTGACATTAACTGGGCTAGGCTGCAATTCCCTGCCCATCCTTTCCTCCATAACACCATGTGCTGGCTGTGCACTTGCCCAGGCAAGTGCCCCACCAGCCAAGAATGTTTCCAAGTCTTGATAGGAAAGAAAACACCAGCAGAAGGGCTTCATATGGAGGGCCGGGGCTAGGACAGGTTTGTCAGTGCCACATCCGGCTAAAGGCGTCCCTAAAGCGTTTACTGTAGAGTCCTGTAGGAAACATGCAGACATGGATCATGAGGGACCTTCTGCTTTTACCTGTTCCTCCATTTCTTACACTGACCCCTGAGTGGTACCAAAGGCAGGTTGGAGGGGGGCTGTGCAGCCCTGGGGCTCTGGCTTAATAAAAACCTGGTGGGGAACCTGCAAGATAACAAAGCTTTCACTGTTTACCCCACAGTTAGGAGTTAAAGAAGGAAAAGCGTACAGGTGAGGTGAGAGACCAAAAGTGCACTGAGGCTACAAGTGAAACTGTAACGTTAATGAATTGAATTAGCAGCTAGAAAAAACTGTTGTGGTAGACAGATTTTAAGGAAATTGGAGATAGGTTCCAATGCGATACTTTTGGTTGTAATTGAGTGCAGAAGTGGCTTGATGCAAAACAAAACCTTTCAGAAACGACCTCCCTGTGTTATCATGCAAGCTAACCGGGAAAAAAAATCCATCTTACTCACAGCAAGTTTGTTTTTACTGATCTTGTGCCTCTCAATTACTTTTTAATGGTCTTCATTGAAAAGAAATTCCTGTATGCACACTTGAGAATATGAAAACACCCAAATGATAGCTCATGATTTACTGGGATTAAAGTATTATGTATGCAGGTGTAGCACGTTTCAGGCTATTAGCAATCCAATCTAATTTTTATGACATTATGGTGTAATTTTCTGTATGAAACTTCAATATAAGTCTTGAGCTGTATCGGAACATAAACTAAAATGTTCCTGACTCTGTCACTTTTCACGGTCTTTACTTTGATTAATAAATACAACAAGAGCTATAACGTTCTTCAATATGAGGCTACAATCATCCTTCAGTCAGAATGTGTCCCTCAGCTTTTTATAACTTCTCACATCAAAATGTACGGCTTACGAAGGAGCAGCAGTAGGATTTCATTGGAACGGAGCACATACGCCTGAAAGGACCCATGGAAGTTGATCTCCATGCCAAGGAGCTTGGTGTCATGTGCGGAGAGCTGGGAGCAGAGGGGAGACACGTACAGCAGAACTGGATGCAGATCTGGCATCCCGAATTTCAGACAGATTTGATCTTACCTCACTGGACACCTTACTCAGAAATACTGTTTTTCAAATGCACCCCAGGTTTGGGGTGGAGCTGTACTCTGACATGCAGGCTTCCATAGGAAGGGAGTTGAATTCCAGTAACAGACTTCAGCATTTCACTCAGTAACACAATTTTGTAGCCACACAGTCTTCAATTCATGACAGATATAATCCAGACTTAGGCCTCAGGATACAGCTGGAGTGCAGGCAGGGAGGAAGGATGGATGCTGCAATTTCCAATCCCTGCAAAAGCAGCTGAGTGGATTTTGCATTGCCCTTGGCCACCAGCATCAGGAAGAAGCTCCTCCACATTCCCTCTGACCTGCCCTGCCAGCACTGCTCAGGAGCCCCAGCACCACTTTGCAGCAGCCACAGAGGGAAATAACTCACAGGCTTCTCAGGTTGGTCTGTTTTATTTCTGAATTATTCTTTACATTGTACAATATATAAAAATACAGAGTACCCCAAAAAATTCACAGTGTCTAAAGGCAGTGATTACAGTCTAGGTCACCTTTATACTAAAGTACCATCAAGTTCAATTGCATAGGAAGGGTGATGTGCCTTCACAACAGAGTTCAATAATACTCTCCAGGTTTTGCTGTTTTAGGGCAAGCGTTCCGTGTTTGCATCACAATTTCCCATGATCCAGTATTGCATCTGTCACTCTCCCACCTCAACTACAAGCTAAATCATGTCGTTTCCATCACACATACCATTCATCCTCCCGAAAGTGTTCTCTGTGGGAATGCTCCTAATTAACTGCACCACTTTTAGGTATGCGCAGGTTTGGATGTCAGCTAGGGAGGGGTGTGTGGATGGAAACCGCACTGGCATGCAGCTGGCTGACTTTTATGTTGTTTGGCGTTTGTTACTAAAAACCATTTTTGCTTCGGTTATTAATGGTCCATCCATGCCGACCTCTGCTTGACTCCATGGCATGCGAATGAACAGCATCCTGCTGATGGAGATTTCAGAACTAGAGTGCAGTGTTAATACTTTTCATGATCAGATTTGTTTAAAAACACATGGGGGCTGGGAATTGCAGAAAGCCAAATGCTGGTCTTACAGCACTGAACCTTCTCACATAGAAATTGACAGCTGAGGCTGGAGGCAGAACAGGGAAAAAATCAAGTTTGAGACCCAAACTTGTGTCGAATGCTATTGAGCACTTAATTTTGTGGCTCTCTAAATAAAGGGTTGTTGGTTTTGTTCCTCCAGCCAGGGCTAATGCAGATGCTAACGTTTCACGAAGGGCCCAAAGGAGATATTTCCAAGAGAACAGCTGAGACAGGGTAAGTACCACAAGGACCCAGCTCCAGAGGGGCTTCTGTCCAGTTTTGAAGGTTCTGGCAATCAAAATTTATGGATTTTCCCACCTACCCCAAATGTATTCTCGAAGCTGCTTGAAGTTTCCTCCTAACAAGCTTAAGGGGAAGATTCACCTGTTTGAGTCTGGGCCCTGGTCATGAGGGCATTAAAGTGATCTGTGGGAAAAAAAAGAAATCCTTCAAACCCAATTTACTGGGTATTTCTCTGTTACTCCAGACAGCTCCAAGGGGTGCTGTGCCCTGTCATGTGTGCAGCCTGGCTCATGGGAGGTAACAGGGCGAGGAATACATGCAGAGCCTTGGCCATGAATGCTGGAAGCTCCAGAGACACCCATTGCACCAGGTACCTGACTGCCATGGCCTGGTGGCTTCTCTGTGCCCCTGTGAAAATGAAAAGCCATGGGTTTGCAGGGTTCCTTTTCCCTAAATTTGGTACTAAAACCTTCTAGTGCGATTATAAAGCAAGGCTTATTATGCCGATCAATAACTCAGAAGGCAATTGCTATCTTCTTCAACATGGAAGTTGACATTTTCTCTGTTCTAATAGATGATGTCTTTTGGCTAATGGTACAATATTTGTTACTCCTACTTGCTATTTCAATTTTCTTTGCACAATTAGTCCCTACTTATAATTACAAAAACAATAGAGTGATGATACATGAGTGATATGGGAGGCTTCTTCAGAAAATATAAGCAGTAACAGGAATATTTTTCTTAATCATTCTTAACCAGAATGATTTAGGGGAGAATCAGCATTTCTAACTAGAAAAATCAATTTTCTTTTCAATTAAAAAATTATATTTCATTTACCTCAAAAGGGTTGGGGCTTTTTTTTTAAAACTAATGGGAGGGATGCTATATTTTTACAGGTTTTTTTCTTCATTTTATCCCTGTGAATTTGAATACCAGCACTGCCTTTCTTATTCTAAGTTTCCTCTGCAGGCATTTTGTTAAATATATATATTGTGTGTGTATATATTATAAATATATACCGTATCTATCCACTGATAGATGTATACACTATTACAAAAAAAAGAGTAAGCTGTTACACGAACTTTACATTTACATTTATATATATATATTTTTATATATATATAACTTTCCCCCACTATATTTGGTACAAAGAATAAATCAATCTCAGTGGACAGAAATTTTCTCTCCAGGTGGGCTTAACATAGGATTAACATTGGAGGCGTCAATTGTCTGCATCAGACATGAACTCCGTTCCTACTCTGTTGATTTCAAACTAATCATCTCATTTTCCAAATGTAAGGCATTAGGAACAGTGGTGGTAATACAATACAATTTCTTTTATAGTGTCTGTACAGTTCATATGTTTAAGAGCAGCCTGGCTCATATGCTGAACATTCAAGTGCGCCTTTAGAGCAACAGCACCTCTTATACTGTGGTGCTATCATCAAGTGGTTTGGCACAAGTTATTTTTGGTGGGTGGCAGCTGATCAAGTAAAGCCCATCAGCATTGGCACAACACAGCCTGGATAAGGCCATAATGCACACCCCATCTGGAGGGAGAAAGGCAGCCACTCCATGGAAAAGGAAGAAAGGCCTAATTAAAGATGTTTCCGCTACACACTTGGCTGTAAGATTTCAATCATATTTTACATAATGGATATCCGAATCCTATCCAAAGGGTTTGCAGAGAACCAGTGTCGCTAGACCAGCACAGGAACTGCCCAGGTTTCCCTTCTCTGCCTTAGAAGTGAAAGAAAAAATAAAGAGCAAGATGAGTCTTTTGGAAGCAATGCTCCTGAACTAAATGCATTTCCAGTGCACTTTCAGATGGCCTTACAAATAGGAAATTTTAGCAACTTTAACATCCAGCTGCAGGAGCAATTCAAGCTGCTACAGATATTACAGACCTGATGATCAAGGTGCTGAATTACATGGATGCAAGAATATCACTGTACCTGGTGTCATTAACCTGCCACGCATTAGAGAGCTCATAAAAAATGCAACCCTCACACCGCATTGACATTGTCCTTAAAGAACTCACACTCATGCAAACAGTGAGTAATATGTGTTCTAGTTTTTTTTTTATTGTGCTCTCTCTTCTCTCTCCTGGATTCTCCTTTCTGCTCAAATGGAGTCTACAGACCCTTGCTGTGATTGCCAATTATACCAGAAAGGGCTGAATCCATTCGGATGGCTGGTAAGAAGAAATGGCTTGATGAAACTATAACCACAGGCACAACTCTCAAAGCATCTGCCCTCCAATAGCCTACAAAATATGCCCCTCCTGAGCACAATGGAAGTAATGACCTATCTTGGTGAGCTGAACATTTAAATAAATTCAGCTGCTACGCAGCACGTTGGGGGAAAAAAAAAAAAGCAGTTAACATCATGTTATTCTGTGAAGCTGAAAATGGAAAAAAGTTGAAGGAGGAGGGAGGAGAAAAAGAAAGGAAAATAGAAAATTATCATGATTGCAAAGTTTGACTTCCTCCCATCCCCCCAGACTCCTGCTGCAATTCTGCCATGTACACAGTAATTGAAGAATGTATCAATACAAGGAATCTTCTGAGTGGGAAGCTTGGAGATGGCTTTGATTTCACAATGGCTAGAGTAATCTTGGGAGCCAATGTTTTTTTCTGAATCACATAAATTAAAGCTGGGAACATCCTATCCTGATAATCAAATGTAATAATTTTCAACCCCTGAGCTATATATTTGTTAGAACTATTTTAAGTCAGGAATTTCTGAGTTGCTGAGGGGCCATGGAAGTCAGCAAGGCAGGGGATTACAGCATGAGGCACAAAGTCATCACTCCTCAAATGGGATTTAGGAGCCTAGGAAGAGCCTCCCTCCAGGTGCTGGCACTTGCTACCAGTGCTCTCCTTCTACCCTGGTGATCCTGCTTCACTCCCACCGCTCCCACTGCAGCCATGCTGGCAGGGGAGTTAGGGCCACTGTGCCTACTTGGAGGGTTGCGACACGCTGCTTCAGGAGCTTCAAGCTGCAGCAGGAGCTTCAAGGTCTGGACCAGCTCCTGACGCCACTGCTTCAAATGTGAGTGCATCTATTTAAGGGCACCTCTCTCTATCTCAATTCCTCTGTTCTCCCTATTTCACCCAGTGAACAGAGCAGAAGTAGGATGAGCTGCTAAATTAGAAAAACAACTGCTGAAAATGACAGGCACCACTGAGCCTAAGGTGTCCTCACAGCAGTGCTAATGACCTCACTTTACTACAAATATCCCTACAGCCTTCAATCACTGCAAACTGAAGTTGGACAAAGTAATTTAAAAATGGGAGGCCTCTTTATTCTTGCCTTCTGGTCAAACCACCATAACAGGCTTACAGAACTGTGTTGGCTTTTCCTTGCAGTAAAAGCAATATACTTGTCACTAGGAACACAGTCTTTCTTCATTTCCTACTGGCTGCCTACATGAAAGAGCTGAGTACACAGCCCAAGCTGGGCTTCCAAACAAGCAACTGCAAAGGAATAGCACTGGGAAATGATTGGTGCCAGCTTACAGCGAAATCTGAAATAAAGAGAAGCCAAACGGGACTGCTAGGAACACGGCCGAGTCAATGGCCACGTACAGGCATGGTAATTGCTCGAGTAAGATGCACACAACAAAGCCAACCTCAGGACCACATGGAGCTCATGCGTGTTTCAGGGTGTACTTTTATCTCATGCTCAGTATTGCGACATTCTAAAATCCTTAGCATCAGGAGTTCATTATAAATATTTAGAAACACTGAATGATGACAGCGGTGAACTTGTCCACGTTGCTAACACATTGGATGTAATTGTACATTAAGCACCAGCAATAAGTTTCCTTTTTGCCAAACAAACAATTATGTCAGACAAACATCTGGTTGTAGACAACATGGCTTCTGCATCAAACTAATACAGTTCTTGTAGACACAGTCACACACATACATAAAATTACATTTCAAGGCTGGATATACTGTTTAATAATGCTACTGCCCCAATTTACTTCAATAGCTGCAGCAGCATTTGTTCATTGGGTTGGTTTTTGTTCAGAAAAGATTAAAGAGATATTGGCAAACAACGCACATTACTCAGCTGTGTTACTATTTCATAGAGTACTGACTGGAAGACACTGTAAGAATGTGCAGCAGACTTTCTGGGTCATGTCAGACTATGGAAACATTCCGTACAAAAATACCCTCCCTCTGAAAAGTCAGAATTATTCACTCTTAGAAAGTAAATGAACTAAAAACCAACAGCAAAACAAGAGGGAAAAAACCAGCCCAAAGCACAGTGATTTCCCACAAGAAGAGCATGACCTCGAAAGTTGCCTTTCCTGGCAGACGTAATCAGGATCAAAGCTAGAACAAAAAGAGTTAACACTGTCTCAGGAGAAAAGAAAAAAGGAAGAAAGAAAAAAGTCCATGGCTCTTGCACGGCAATCATTACACCTTTTTTTTTCCAGTGATATAAACATCTTTGTTTGTTAGGCACTCCAAGTTCATATCTCCGATGTTATTCCAACATTTACTTCTCTCAGTGTCTCACTGCCTGTATAATTTTCTTTCAATTAAGACTGGAAACGTTCTGGAAAGCTTCTTTGTGTAATGCACTTTGTTTGTGTGTTGTTTCTCATCAGCTGAACTGCATATTGCCAAAGAAGGCTGCGGAAAGTATTTCCTGTAATATGAAAAGATTCTGTTGAAGATACAGGGAACACTGCCCTAGAAAGTCACTTCTGTTTGTTTTTTTTTTCCAGAAACATAAAAAGATGAAAAATTAAAAAAGGAAAAGAAAAAAAGTTGTTGGCACGATGGAGTCCCGCTCAGCCTGTCTCATGAACTGTGTGTCATCCAGCGCACCATTGCTACCCTGCCTCAGGAAGGATGTGCCTCACCAGACAGACACTCCTGCCCCAGGAGGTCACTTCTCGCCTTGCTTAGAGTGTACCCACATATTGTGTGCTGCTGCATGGTGGCCACTGAGCCCAGCACACAGCCACCTCCTTGTGACAATGTTGGCGCTGGACAACAATGTTGATGTTCCAGCCATAAACAGTTGCAGTAGTAAGAGCCATCTCCAGCCAAATATCAACAAAAGCACTGCAGAATGGTCCATATGTGGTTTTGTCCTTGTAAGGAGATGTGCTGTTTACAAGAAATACAATTAACCAAAGGAAAAAAAAAAGACCCTACTGTACAATATTTACATCTAGAGGCTGAGCCAGTATTTGGTCCATAAAATCAATTTAAAAAAATTCATATAGGAAGTATCCAGTCCTGTAGGATCTGTCCATCATCAGCTGTTGGTAAAGGTCCTTCCAGGGGAGGCCTCAGGCCTGTAGTCATATTTATTCAGTGTACTGGGATAATAGGTTGTTGTGTACACATTGGTTTGCTGCAATGGGTAGAAGTTGGTCCTGTCATCTGGTATCAAATTGTTCTTGTTAAGTGTCTGTAAAAGAGAAGAGGACATGACAGGGATGGTAATGGTGCCACATAATTACTCTTTACTACCTGCAGACACCTCCCTCTCACCTGCCTTCTCCATCAAGGTCTCAGCTGCAGCCACCACCTCCTTCCCTCCAGCTGGGAGAGTAAGACAGTACATCGTACTCACTATGGGGCTAGTCTGCAGGGGACCACAGCTCCTGCCAGGTCTCCTTTGGTGGACCTGTGCTTAGCTACTGCTAGGGCCAGAATCCAGAGCCTTCTCCAGAGACCTGGAGTCTCCTGGTAGATGGCATGTTGTCTGAACATCACTGTCACACAAAACCATGCTGGGCCTACACCAAAGTTGGTGACAAATGACAGCGCTCAATCTAATCTCTTCCAAAATGCTCATGTTACAGACTGCAGCTTCCTCTCAAACCAGTTGCCAAACGGCAGCTTTTTCTCTTTGGAAGAGCAGGTGTGCATTTACCTGATCTCCATCTCCATTGGTAGATATCCAGGTTTGGACCCCCCGATATTAAGTGTGTCACTTCTGTAAGCTACAGTATAAGTAACAAATCATGGTCACTTTTGGAAAAGCTAAAATGACTTAAAAAAATCAACAACCATGTAACAATTGTTGGCAATAATAACATAAAATTGAGAACCACAAATGCCCCTTTTACCATAAAAATTTAGAAATGTTTTTTTTTCTCCCTCCCCTTTTCCCCCCTCCTTCTTTGCTTTTTGCAAGAATTAAAATTACTCTTCCCACCAGCAAGCAGGTGTCCCCTTTCATCAGATTAAAGCCCGTTGCTATGCCAGCTGTTACCTATGCACAAGGATAAAATCCCATTTGGGTGTGTGTGCAATAATTTTATGGAACTTTCTCCTGCATCTTTACAGTCATTTGATTTCTGTGAATGTGGCTGAAGAATTCTTATGGCAGTTTTTTCAACTAACCCCTAACTTAAATTTCTTATACATATATCTAGCCTACACTGCTCCTATGTGCACCTTTAATGGTTGTTATGCAGGGAACTCACTCCTTTGATCTGGGAGTCAACACTACTGCGTTTGTTACAGCAGCCTCATGATCAGAGCACAGCACATTTAAAGAGGGTATGAGCCTATCTCCTGTCTGGAGCAGAGAGGTGGAGAGGTCTAAAGAAGTAACTCACCCTGGGACCTAATGGTTGCTCTGCCACAACCCAATGCTGCTGGGGGAGCCACTTTAGCTCGGTTCCCCATTGAGACAAACACCTCATACCTGACCCAGCTCAGGGCAAGATTAAATTAATTAACTAATGCTTGTCCATGAAATACCCACCTCCACTGGCTTTACTTGACCCATGTAACTTCAGCCCCCTACACTTCAGGCATTGTGGCTCCATAGATAAAAATTGCCTTCTGGAGAAATCCCTGTTTCCCCCCAGCCCTGGCAGCACTGCGGCAACGTGCCAACAGTGGGTGCTTAACTCTCAGGAGACTACAGTTAGCAGGGTCTCACCCTGTGTACATCCCCTTTGCACAGTCAGGGTGTAGCCACTGACTACTGACTGCTGAAATGATGAGAGCTATCCCTAGGCTCAAAGAGAAGTCCACAGGCAGTACATTTATCTCCCAAATTCTTTGCAATTGAATAATTTTACTGCATGGGGAAGGGAAGAGGAAAAAAGAAAATGCTTTCTTCATATTCAATAGCAAACTGATAGCTACCGCTACCCTGGGAGATGCAACTCCCAGTTTCATACAAGATGTTAGGAGGAAAGGCTTTCCTGTGGCAAAACAACCCTGGCAAAGAAATGTGCTAATTGCTGAACTACTGAATAACTTTTCTGGAAATGGGTACTATATGAAACATCTCAAACATAAAAACTGGAGGAGACCCAGCCTCCTCCTGGTCTCACTGCAATCTCTCTCAGCCTGTAGTCTCCAAAATCAGCTCACGGTGTATCACTTGTAGGAAGCAAGGAGGAAATTGTACAGGTATGCTCAGAGTGACAAATATTTCCAAGGAAAGAGAATTTGTGCCTTTCAATAGGAAAGGAAGAACAGAAGTGTCATGCTTTGCTCCCAGTCACTCAAAGAAATATTAAAATAGTGCGGGCAACAGTCTGCTGCTCTGTGCTGGAGGCTGGGAAACAAGGAAGCCAGGCTCACTCCTCTGCTGTTTGCTATGCTTCCTTGGGAAATCCAATCAACTGCTCTGTGCCCCAGTGTCTTCTGATCCAGCTTGGTAAAAGCATTTGAGATCCTCTGTAAAAATGCACTTTCCTATGTGCTGCCACTGAGTACCTGGGGAACTCTGGCAAACACCACAGTGACTGCTGTTTCCTGTCAGTGTCTCTAGCCCAGGATACCCACTGCAGTCAATGTAACCTCATAGCGATGGTCCAGCACAGCAGGACAAAAAGGTTTATGCCCACTGCTGCAATACCTGGACTCTCTTGAAGGTGGTCCAGTGTCCAGGCCTTATCTGGGTCACTTTTTGGGACAGTTGAGATTCATAACATGCCAGGATTACCACCTCTGAAATTTGGTAACATCAAAATCCTGACCTAAGATTAGGAACATCTTGATCTGAGGACAAAGACCTCAGGACTGTACATTTTTTTGTCTTTCAGTTGTAAAATCTCTATGTTTCAACATCTCCCATGGTGTTTAAAACTAGCCCTTTACAGCAGACTTAGCATTTAATTAAAACAATTTGCATTTTTTCCTTTCTCTCTTGTCTTACTTTCATATAACATTTGATTAAGAAAAAACCCACAACTGCTCCTTTGCTCTTTTTGGTTTTATTTTTGATGGAGGGCTTATATCTTAGGGAAATACCTTATGAAAATGGTTTAGCAGAATTTATAATGCAATTAGCTGCACAGAATTTATCTCTAGAAATGCTGCCATGGCAGTACCGTCCTAAATCAGCATGATCAATGTGCACTGCCTTAACATTTCCCCACACAAACTTATTGCCTGTGGCATTTTAATAAATAGATTATTAGGTTCTTTGGCAGTAGAAATTGGTTGATATTTTGAAGAAGGGAAATGAGGCAGCAGTGAGTTTTAGCGACCTACACACACAGTCATGCATGCACTGCAGGAGAAGAGGTCAAATCTCTCTGGGTGGGCTACTGTGCTCTTCTACTCATCTCTTTAATGCTTACTCTCATCTGCAATTCTCCACTGTGGCAGAGATGGTCAATGACTTTCCCTTTGGAAGACATTCCTCAAGAGCTATATGGGTTATGCTGTCAGGGTCAGAGCCTCCTGACAACTTGAACTCCCTGGAATTATTGTGAGGATGAAAACAGCGTGCTGTGCCCATAGGTATTCCCACCAATATTTATCACTCCCAATGGGAGAAACCGAGAGTCATCACTACCACACAAGTACAGTCGATCACAAAAACACAGCCCAGCTCCTACAGGTGCCTCTTCAGCTACCTCTGAGCCAAGTCCCCAGCATTACAGTGGGCAAGAAACGATTGCTGAGACAATGCCCAATTAGTCCCTCAGAAGTGAGAATTTTTCTGTGCTTTTGCAGAGACTTGTATATGGCTGCAGGAACTAAGCTGGCTAAAGCAGCACAGTGAGCACTAGAGCTCAGGCTGTCCTCACTAGAAGACTCAGAGAAGGAAGACTTGCTTTTGCTGCCTGAGCTCTTCTGCACTACCATCTTGCACCCTGTAGGGAGACATGTCAGTTACCTCAGCACCCACCGGACCTTACTTATGACACTTCTCCCGACACTCAACCTGTGTTTTCCCCTTCTTGCTGTCTTCTCCCTTCCATATCAAACACTAACACCTCCCCTTGCCAGCAGATTAGATACGATTGCTCAGTAAGCCAAAAGCCTGACCAATGTTTATTGCTGAAACATTACTTGGTGCATAATCTCTGTGCCATACCCATGATGGATTTTGAACACTGAGGGAAACATTTCAGGCCCTCATTTTGGTCCTCTGCCTTAAGAAGAAAGAAACTTCTGGTAGTTGTGCAAGTATAATATTCCTCATAAAAAGTGAGGTCAGACCCTGAGCTAATATGAAAACCTGTAAGATGTGCTTAGAAAAATTGCTCAATTCAACCAGTAGCTAGAAACTCAATATGCATCAATCAAAGTTTTACCCACCTCCTCTCTTCCAGTATGAGCCATGCCATCCTAGCATATTTGACATCACTTGTTCCTTCTGTATTGTTCACTACTAACCTCAATTCCAGAACCTATTCGCTGAAAGTAAGCCACCAGCATGCACCAACCCAACCAAGTGGATCACTCAAAAGCAGGCACACCTTCAACTGCTTTCTTTAAAAGACCCTTTATTATGCTGTGTTGGCATATGACTAATAAAAAATTCTCTGACCCAGAAACTCCGCTTTGCAAGCAGGGGTGTTTTTAGATGGACTAAGATGAATATGGTTTTAAGAGAATGTAAAACAGGATCAGCTTTCTCCATTTTGTGTGATCTGTCAAATAGTTAAAAGGTCCAGTATTGTTGCTGATAAATTGCATGTCTATGCCAAGCACAACAGGATCCTGAGTATCTAAATACTTACAGAAACAGGTAAACAATTTGTCATCACACTTACTACTGTATTAGCAATTAGTTAGAACTGGAAGAGTCTGAGAAAAAGTGTATAGATATTTCCCCTTGTGTGCTGCTCTGCCCCCTGGCATTCATACTGGAGGCAAAATACGGACATGTACTCACAGGCTGTTTCTCCCAAGGTAGAGCCAAGTGTTGGATGTGTTAGACATGACTGTATTGTGCCATGTGCATACATTTACTTTTGCTCAGCCTTCTCCATTGATATTTTTAGCCTAAAAGTCATCATTCAGATTTTCCATTTGTTACTTTTTCTCCAGCAATGCCTTGCCACTACTCCCCCAAATTCTGCCTCTGCTCCAAATCATTAAGTCATAATCCACTGACCTACTTGCTTATATACTCCCAGATGAATCAAAACATCTTCATCCATAACAGTATAGGACTTTCAGAACCAGTCCCATCCTACAGCT